TGCAGCTCCGTATGTCTCCTTTTTTGGTATTTTCATGCAAATTCTTCTGCTAGTTGGGGTTTAGTCCACTTCTGTATCCTCTCCTTCAAGGCTCAGGGGTCCAAGATTATCTTCTGTGTCTGTGTTAATTGTTTTTCCTTTTCTTTGTTGAAGAGGGTCTGTGCAGTCTTTCTGCCTAGTCCACCATCTTGCCGGAACTCCAGCACTGCATCTAGATGCAAGGTTTTGTGAAACATATTTGCTACCAAAGACTGACCATTATTGTTTGTGTGCTAATTAAATAGTCCCACCACTCATCTGTCTGTTTGTCCTACTGTGGTGGATTGTGTGTTGCCATGATGCTGGAAACTATGCCACCACTATTTCAAATACCAGCAGGGTCACCCAGGGTGGAAAGGTTTCAAAAGAGCTTCCAGACTAAGACAGACTAGGAAGAAGGACAAGGCAGTCCACTTGTGAAAATATTAGCCACTGAAAACCTTATGAATAGCAGTGAAACATTGTCTGATACACTGAAGATGGGCTCCTCAGTTTGGAACGCACTCTGGGGAAGAGTGGGGAAGAGCTGCCTTCTCAAAGCAGAATAAATCTTAATGACATGGATGGAGTAAAGCTTTTTGGACCTTCATTTGGTGATGTGGCATAACTCAAAATTAGAAGAAAAAGCTGCAAACATCCACTAATAATTGGAATGTACTAAGTGTGAGTCAGAAACCCAAGGAGGGGTCGCTATGAGTCGGGTTTGACTCGACGGCACAAAACAACAACAACAACAACAATAAGTATGAGTCTAGGAAAATTGGAAGTTTTCAAAACTAAAATGGAACATGTAAAGATTGATATCCTAGGCATTAATCAGCTGACATGGACTCGTATTGGGCATTTTGAATCAGACATCATATGGCCAGGAATGACAAATTGAAGAGGAATGGCATCACATTTATTGTCAAATAGAACATTTCAAGATCTATCCTGAAGTACAATGCTGTCAGTGATAGGGTAATATCCATACACTTACAAGGAATACTAATTAATACTACTATTATTCAAATTTGTGCATCAACCACTAAAGCCAAAGATGAAGAAATTGAAGGTTGTTACCAACTTTTGCAGTCTGAAATTGACCAAACATGCAATCAAGATAAGGAGCTCTGGTAGCAGAATGGGTAAGGCATTTGGCTGCAAACCAGAAGGTTGATGGTTCAAACCCACCAACTGCTTCTTGGGAGGAAGATGAGACAATCTACTTCTGTAGATTAAAAACCAAACCCACTGCCATTGAGTCAATTCTGATTCATAGCGACCCCCATTGGGTTTCCCCCAAGTAGATTGCCCCATCTTCCTTCCATGGAGTGGCTGGTGGGTTTGAACAGCCAAACTTCTGGTTAGTAATCAATGCTTTAGGCACTGCACCACCAGAGCTCCTGTAGATTATAGCCTTGGAAACCCAATGGGGGTCTCTATGAGTCAGAATCAACTGATGGCATGGGTTTTTTTTTTTTCCTTTTTGGCAATCAAGATGCATTGATAATTACTGGTAATTGGAATGCAAAGTTGGAAACAAGAACTGTTGGTAGTTAGAAAATATGACCTTGGAAATAGAAATGACTTCTGAGATTGCATAATAGAATTTTGTGAGACCAACAGCATATTCATTGCAGTTTTTTCAAAAATGTAAATGGTGACTATACATATGGACCTGGTCAGATGGAATACACAGAATCAAACTGACAACATCTGTGGAAAGAGATGATGGAGAAGCTCAAGGTCATCAGTCAGAACAAGACCAGGGGCTGACTGTGAATTGCTCAGATGCAAGTTTAAGTTGAAGGTGCGGAAAATTAACACAAGTCCACAAGAGCCAAAATACGACTGTTAGTATATCCCATTTGAATTTAGAGACTGTCTGAAGAATAGGTTTGATGCATTGAACGTCAGTGACCAAAGACAAAAAATGTTGTGGGATGACATCTGGAACATCATGCATGAAGAAAGCATAAGATCATTAAAAAGACAGAAAAGGAAGAAAAGACAAAAATGGATGTCAGAAGAGACTTTGAAACTTGCTTTTGAATGGAAAGTAGCTAAAGTGAATGGAAGAAATGAAGAAGTCAAAGATCTGAACAGAAAATTTCAAAGGGCAGCTCAAGAAGAAAAAGTAAAGTGTTATAATGACATGTGGAAAGACCTGAACTTAGAAAATTGAAAGGGAAGAACATGTTCAGCATTTTTCAAGCTGAAAGAACTGAAGAAAAATTGAAGCATTGAGTTGCAATATTGAAGGATTCTATGGGCAAAATATTAAATGATGCAGGAAACATCAAAAGAAGATGGATGGAATGCAGAGTCACTGTACTGAAAAGAATTGGTCGATGTTCCCATATTTCAGGAGGTGGCATATGATTAAGAACCAATGATATTGAAGGAAGAAGTCCAAGCAACACTGAAGGCATTAGCAAGAAACAAGGATCTAGGAATTGACAGATACCCATTGAGATGTTTCAGCAAATGAATGCGATGCTGGAAGTGTTCACTTGTTTATGCCAAGAACTTTGGAAGACAGCTACCTGACCAACATACTGGAAGAGATCCATATTTGTACCTATTCCAAAGAAAGGTGATCCAAAAGAATGTGGAAATTATTGAACAATATCACTAATAGCACATACAAGTAAAATTTTGCTGAAAATGATTAAAAAACAGTTGCAGCAGTACATAGACAAGGAATTTCCAGAAATTCAGGCTGGATTCAGAAGAGGACATGGAATGACATTGCTGATATTATACAAATCTTGGCTGAAAGCAGAGAATCCCAAAAAGATGTTTAGCTGTGTTTTATTGACTATACAAAGCCATTCAACTGTGTATCACAACAAATTACGGATACCAAGAAACTAGACTATTAAACAAGAATGTGGCATCAGGATTAGGGGAAGACTCATTAATAACCTGTCATATGCAGATGACACAACCTTGCTTGCTGAAAGTGAAATCTTGAAGCACTTACTGTTAAAGATCAGAGACTACAGCCTTCAGTATGGATTATACCTCAGCATAAAGAAAACAAAACTCACAACTGCACCAATAAGCAACATCATGGTAAATAGACAAAAGATTCAAGTTGTCAAGGATTTTATTTTACTTGGATCCATAATCAACACCCATTGGAGTAGCAGTTAGGACATCAAATGACAGAGTGCATTGAGCAGATCTGCTGCAAAGACCTTTAAAACATTAAAGAGCAAAACTGTCACTTTGGTGACTAAGATATACCTCACCCAAGCCATTGTCTTTTCATTAACCTCATAATCATGTGAGAACTGGACAATAAATAAAGAAGTGTGAAGAAGAATCAGTCCATTTGAATTGCTGTGTTGGAGAAGCATATTGTGTATATCATGGACTGCTGGAAAAGCAAACCAGTCTGTCTTGGAAGAACTATAGCTGTAATGTTTGTTAGAATCAAGAATGGCCAGAGTTCATTTCCAGTACTTAATCAGGAGGGACCAGTGCCTTGGGAAGGATATCATGCTTGGTAGAGTAGAGGGTCAGAGAAAAAGGGGAAGACCTCATAAGATGGATTGACATGTGGCTGCAACAGTGGGCTCAAACATAGCAATAACAGTGA